CCATATATATTTTTGAGTGAGTGCGTATGTGTGTGTGTGTACGTAACAAAATGTTACATGTCTAATGAAATGTGAATAACAAACTGAGTTTTTGCTACCCAGAAATCATATCATGTGTAATAGATATGATTCCCAGATGGTAAGTTTTTAATTAAGTGTATAGCTATTAGTTATAGCTGTCAACAATATTATATTAAAGATACTCCTAGATACTATCCATTTGTTGTTCTGTACCAGTGTTCTCCCCAAAGCGTTTTAGCGTAGCGGGGCCGCTACTCCATTATTTATGCCGCTACTCTGAGAGATTGCCCGCTACTCTGTGGCATTTCCTGTTACTCTTTCTTTTAGCTTGTTAATACACGTGCGAATCTGTTAGTCAGCGTCATCAGCGTCCGGTACTGTGAGCCAAATCAGGTGTGAATGGAAACATGTCAGTGATTACGCAAAGACAATGGACTAATACAGCTTCGTACTTCGACAATAAACACTTTCGCCCTATTTAATTGGGGTAATAGCGAGTATTTTCTCAGTAGCATATTTGGCTGGAAGAAGCAACGATGTCAAACAGCAGAAATATTACGTTGTGGTTCCGCGTAGAACGCCCTGCTGGGCCCCTGGTTGCGAGCGATAAACCCACCAGCAACGCGGTCACCGGTACCCCTGTCGGCAGTGGTACTAAACGTGTTCAAGATGATGTTACAACGAAAAGTGCAAAAAAATAAACTCTAGATTTGATGCACAATGGACAACAAAATATACGTGGCTGAGAGAAACATCCGATGGCAAAGGTAAAAAAAGTATTTATTTGTAGCGTTTTACTTGGAAGCAAGTTTTGACCTAGTTTAGTAAATTTTTGTATGGCTTCATTTTTTGCCGATCGTCGAAACATTTTTTTGGAAACGACCTTCTTTCTGGAAGTTCAAAAATTGTTGGCTACGATTTATCAAAGTAACTAATACTAGTATTGTGTTTTAAAATAGTTGAGTAAGTTTATCGTGGCAATTTTTAAGTTTAGCGACTTTTCAAATGGCGGCAATTTGTTTATTTTCGTGTTGATCGTGACGATATTTTTTAAATACAAGTATTGATTCGCTCCTATTTCTTATCTTTTAGGAATGCTGTGACACATATGTGGAAAATTCAATTTAAAAACATCCAGAAATAGTTCTTTGGTATGGAATTCTATGCCATGTATAACTATTACGAAATATGCTATCGATAAACACGCACACTCGGAGATGCACAAGAAGGCCATGTCATTTAATAGAAGTGGGAAGCAAAGAAAATCACGGCGTTCTCAAAAGCTGCAGATCACTGGGCTTCCATGAATGTCCGAAAAATCAACATTACATAGAAATCACACAGCAGCAGATTCATTTAATCTTCTACATAAATTTGTTAAAAAATAAAGACACATTTTCATCCATGCAAGCCTGTCATTATTGTTTTCTTTATCTTCAGACAAATGCTAATGATATGTAAATTATATGCAAATTAGCCGCCACTCTGATACATTTTTCTGGGGAGAACACTGGACGAGCATGGATTTTTACCAAAACCTAATCAAATCTGCGCATTGGCCCAGAGCATCTATGCACCAAGTTTCATCAAAAACCGATGTATGGTTCTTGAGATAGCAGTGGAACAGTCGGACACACATACACACATACATACACATACACACATACACACATACAGACACACTAACTGCAAAGACTCCCATTTTGTGCTTCGCACATGGGAGTCAAAAATGGCATTGTTTGTAGACAGTAATTTAGTTCCTTGAGTATCAACAACATTCATGATCAGTGTATTTTAATTTAATTCTGATTTGGGATTAAGCAGAAACTAAATTGTTTTGCCATAACCCAACCTACCCACAAATTAGTTGAAAAATTGCATCTCTATATAGATTACTATAACACCATTCTATCAATAGTATAACCACCTTTGTAGTTTAGTAGTGCAAACTTACCTGACATCTGCAACCCCTCTAGCGTTTGTCGACTGAGAAGCATAGCAGCTCATTGTGATGCTGTGAACTGTCCTGGCCTTCTTGCAACTCTATCTTGCCACTCAGTGAAATAATTTAGAAAATCAAGTTCAAGCCACTAAAAAAAATATTGAATACAGGAAATTAGTTTGTAATAATAAATCAACATGCATTACTAGGAACTATAGCCACCATCTACAACCCCCCCCCCCCCCTCAATTTTGACCCATTTGATAAAAAATAAACAAGTAATTATTGAACAAATGTGGCACAAGAATTTTAGCGAAAAAAATTTGGTACAGAAAAAGGTTAAAAGTATGATGTCTTCACAATTATTCAATAACTTACTGATAATCTTGGATCATCCGGATTTGTATAGGGTGCCAGGTTAGGTATACGTTTCCTTAGATGTTCCTCCTTGCATCGCACATTTAAGCAGTCAAAAAAGTTGTCCATATACATTACAAACTTAGCAGTTTCCCCTGCTTCTGGTGGACCAAATCTTTGAATAGCATGGAACACTGTTTCACTTAGAACCTGCGAGATGCATACAAAAGGCAACAAAGTTTAACAAGTTTAGCATATATTACATAACTGTCAACTTTTATTCAATGTTGTTGACTTTTTGATTTTGTGCAAAAATAGGAAAAGTGTCTTTAAAAAACATACCTGAGCTGCAAGGTTAACTCTCATAATTGAAAAAGATGTTAAATTGATATGCTCATATCCAATCTTGTGTAACAAGTGAATGTCCCTGGTTCGATCATCCATTATCAACTCTGAAAGATGCCTACATAATATTGGATTACCATTCTGTGAAAACAAGGATTATAAAGAACATCTTATTAGGAATTAAGTAGACCGTCCAACTTTTAATTAAATATTAGGTGGTCTATGATTTAATCAAATTTATCAAATGGAAAGGTATATACTATATTAAATATGCACATACCCATAGACTTCTGGATTTCCGATGTGCCTCAGAATTGGCCCAGCAGTTCCTGGTAGTCTTTATTAAGTGGGGTACATCAGACACAAAATAAATGAATCTTTCATCATCACTCCATAAATTTCTAGTCTTGAACACCACCATATCCCGCGGAGCACCTTTTACTCTATGCATACGGTAAAACTTCCGGTTCCATGACGCTCCATCACTGGTGGACACCATTACTTTTAGGTTACATGTGACTTCCAACCAGGTGATGGTATCCCATATTATTGGATACAAATTGTCAGACTTGCAACCATCAGTGGGAAAGTAGCCCAGGCTCATTTGTAAACTAGATGCTAATCCTCTTACCATTAGCACCAAGACATGACTGGCAAGTCCTAGACCTTTATTCTTCTCTATGTGACAGCCATTCTCTAGCTTCATCAGCTCCTCATTTATATCACCCAAGTTGGTGAAACCAATCAGTTCCCCAGTGTTCTTATCATAGACGAGATCTTGCTTAACCTTCATTTCATCATGAAGTAGTACTACATATTTTATTTGACTTCTGATGACC